ATAGGAGTTATGTACATCAAAAAAAAGTATTTTTAAGAGCACTCAATATGTCAATACAAGGAACCTTAAAAAGAAGAAAATCTGATAGAGTACCTGAGATCAGTAGAATTCTAAAACTATATAGAACTAACTAGTTTCATATCCCATTACGAAAAGAGTAACGATAGGAATTTCAAAAGTTCTATTAAAATTTCTACCAAATGTTTTACATGGGTGTGGGACGCCCACCATGTGGGTCCCATGTGAGTCCGACCCCTATATGAAAAATTTGATAGAAATTTTGGTTCGACTTTTAAAATCTCTAACATTTTTGTTACGAAAATACGACAAAAAAAAATTGTATTGTTTAATTTCATTAAAAAAATGAAATTCATTAGGCCATCTCCAACGTTTAACTAAATGTATCACCAAATTTAAATTTGTTGAAAAAGTACATTTTTATTTTTTGTTTATATATATATATATATATATCTCTAACGGTTTCATCAAAACTGTGTCATATTGAGAACAATCCAAATCTTTCATTAAACTGGGGACTTGGGCAGCTTTCAGCAAACTACTATGCGTGAATGTTGGGGGTGGGATTCACCGGACGCCGGTCATCCCGCCGGTCATCCGATTAACAGCACAAAATTGAAGAGGAAACCCAAACCCTCCATTCCAGCGTGACTCCTCCTACGGTTCTTTAACAAATGGTTGATTTTTTGACAACCAAAAAGGGATCTTCTTTTCTTTCCTTGCAGTGCCTTGGCAACCAAAAAGGGAATAATTTGTTTCTTCTTCATTTTAGCTGAGATATATTATACAAGTACGTAGTTAACTGGTTGCTAGTTTTTTTTTTTTCTTTCTTCATTCTCTCTAATATATATATATATATATATATCCAGGTAACTATTACAAATATTTGTTTATCTTGCTCTTATTGTTCTCTGTAAATTCATTATCTTGTGATTATCACAAGTACCTGTCACAATTAAATTTGTATATCAAAGTTATCATACTTCTAACACTAATCATATTATATATTTTCAAGTATGGAATAATAAGAAATGGCAAAAATTTAATGGAGGGAAGGAGTTATGAAGAGAAATGAAAAAAAAATTGAGGGAAATTGAAATGGAGAGGGAAATTTTTTTTCATGAAATGCTCTTGCCGGTTGATCGGCCAGTCTTCCCTCCGGACATCCGGTGTTTTGATGAAAGTTACAGTAGTTCATCGTTAGAGTAACTAATATCAGATAGAGAAATTAGACATATTTTTAGTCAGATTTAATGAACGGTTAAAAATGCCTTATTGTAGTTAATATATAAATTTGTGTCCTATTTTGGCAGACGTTAAAAGTGACACGCAAGATGTAAATGATCAGGAATTGTGTCTACAACAGATTCTCTACGTACCTCAAAAACACTAAACACATAATTCCTATACATGAACAAAATTTTACACGATTTTTTTGTAAAATTAACATGCTTCCAAAAGTACATTTATTGACATTCTAGATATGGTCCACATTATACAAAATTTGAATATATACAACATACTTCACTTTTAAAATAATTTTTCAAATAACTATTCCAAGTAAATAACATTTTTATTTTTATTTTTGATTAACAATAAACGTGAAGCACCAATAAATCTTAAATAGTGATCTTATAAATTATTTGATCTTTTCTTTTTTTTTTAGGGGGATTTTTTTTAAGGTCCCTGATATTAAGAATTTATAGCATAAAGGACATTCAATATTTTCATAATGTCTAAGGTCCTTCAACATCAATCCAGAGAAAATTCGATCCAGAGAATTTCTCTAGACTTTCCAGAGAAATTCTCTCCAGACATCCAGAGAAATTCTCTTTATCCAGAGAAAATTCAGATAGTCCAGAGAAAATTTAGACATCCAGTGAAAATTCAGATGGTTCAGAGAAAGTTCACACAATCCAGGAAACTCTGCATCATCGTGCATTTTATATGTTCTCTTACAAATATCTGTTCATGAAGGGTTGCTATCAAAATTCTGTTTGCTAATCCTAGTGCTCTTTGTAGATCAAGTCCAACAAGATGAGGTGGTTGACAGTAAGATCTTGCCATGCCTTAGCATAGACAAGAAAGAGAAGAAGTCATTCCCTAGACTTCTAGAGAAAATTCAACTTTAAAGAGAAAATTGGTCCAGAGAAATTCTGGGAAGAATTTCTCTGGATTTTCCAATTTCTCTGACACTCCCTAGAATTCTCACTGTAAATTTCCCTGGCCTTCCATTTTCTCCAGAGAAATTGTAATGTGCTTCATCTTGTTTGAATATGCTATATTGTTGATATTGATTCAGAATTTCTACAATTGTTTGGGAAATTCCTATCATTTTCTTTGAATGAATTCAATAAATTTTTGTTGTACTTATCTACATATTTTCCAGGGTATATCTATCCTTACCTAATTCTAATGGAGAGTGGGAAATATACGAAAGGCCAGAGAAAAAAATTTCTCTGGAGAGAAGAGAAGACCAGAGAAATTTGCAATGGAAAGTCTAGGGAAGGTCAGAGAAATTTAAAAATTTCTCTGAAAAGTCCCTGCACCAATTTTCTCTGTGAAGTCGAATTTAGCAAAATCAACAATTATTACCAGCTCTACAACCTGAATTCTATAGAATCAAATATCAATTATTGAATATAAGTAGTCTCGATAAGAAAAGTGGGAGAAACTTACTAGTTATGAGATCAAAAAAAGAGGTTCTCCCAAAATCCAAACCAAGTTGGAGGAGATTTCTATTTGCTTGTTTCAGGCCTGACAAAATGTTCAATTCCGTACATGAGTTTGTCATTGACAATGGATAAATTCTGAAATTCTACTAAAATGATAACAGTAAATCATTTTTTTACAAGAAATCAGTTGACTCATATATATGCACATTATCACAATTCACAAACACAATAAAAAGAGTGGGATTCTACTGGAGAGAAGGGTACACATCATCAATTTCCTTCTTCCCAAGTCCGACCCCTCTCTCTCTCTCTCTCTCTCTATATATATATATATATTTATACAATCAAAAAATATTTGCCATATTTATGATTTTAACTTTCGAAGCACTCAATAGAACTTTCAACTCCTAATCGTCGAGCTCCCAACACAACCTCTACGCCGCAGCGTCGATTGGATTGTTCTGAAAAGTTGTCAAGATGTTCCGATTCACCTCTTCAGAAGAAGCAATGATAGATGAGATAGGACGACTGGCTCTGTGAGTGGCTGAGCTGACTTGATGTTCCGCCGGAGATACCGACGGGACGCCGCAAAGATCGTCGTTCACGATGGTGATTCCAACTACCTTCGCTGCTACTCTCATGATTCCACCCCTTTCCATGGTTGCGGTTGATCGAAACCTAGAACAAAAAAATATATGTAACGATTTTATAATATTTCATAGAGTCAAATTTCTCTGTGATATATGAATGTAGGAGTTGAAGGACCTTAGACATTACAAAATAGTATTGTGGATCTCTTCCATTACTAAAAATAGGAGAGGAACCTTAGACTAATTTTCCCTTTTTTTTATGGATCTAAAGGTCTCATTTTAATGTGAATTATATATAGGGCCAGGTATAAATTCGCGCGTGTAATGTGTTAAGCGGCAAATGTAAGTTTTCTCATAATGTTGAAATTACTAAACGTAACACTTCAAAAAAATTTCTTAATGTACTTTTTTTAAATATAACACTCTAATGTAACATTTCGAAAACGTAAAATTTCAATGTAACACACTAAAAAGCTTTTTAGTGCACGCATTTCTTAAACGTAACAATGTAACATTCTACAAAAATTTCTTAATATACTTTTCCCAAACATAACACTCTAATTAATGTAATACTAAAAAATTACTTAGTGCACTTTCCCAAACGTAATACTTTGATTTAACACACTAAAAAATTTATTGGTATATTTTTCTCAAATGTAACAACGTAACATTATAAAAAAACTGCTTAGTGTACTTTTCCCAAACATAATATTCCAATCAAGATAACACATAAAAACTTTTATGTGTAGTTTTTCCAAACATAACATTCCAATGTAACACACTAAAAAATTCGTTAGTGTGCTTTTCTTAAACGTAACAACGTAACAATCTAAAAAAAAAATTTTTAGTGTATTTTTCTCAAACATAATACTCTAATAAATGAAACACAAAAAATTCTTAGTATACTTTTTTCAAATGTAACACTCTAATATAATACTTCAATGTAACATCAGAAAACTATACTAACAGAAATGTAGATTTCCATGTTTGACAACCAATACTTCAACCACGAATCAATACCCAAAAAAAAAAATCTTTTACACCTTACATTTTCATTCACATCGCAATAAAAAATAGAGAAAATTGGAAAACTAAATGACAAAAAGACATTCATTTAAACTCAAATGATATCAAATCAAATAAATACAATTTTTCAAAACAAAAAAACAAACGAATTGATTGATAAAAAAAACTTTTAGAATTAAATAGATCAACATTTCCTATATAAGATTTATGAATAAATTTTGCTTAACAATAATTTTATAGAAGTTATTCAAGAAAATCCAAGTAATTTATTATAATGAACCCATTATTCAATAATAATAATCAGTGGCGTAACTATGGAGCAAATGAATGAACGAAAACTGAGCTAAAATTGACATCACTAAACAATAAATAGCTTCAAATATATGTGATATATGTGATATTTATCTAGATTCACTGGAGTCATTTTGTTAAAATTGATACCACTAAACAATGAATAACTCCAAACACGGAGATCATTTTGTTAAAATCTAAAATTATTAAACAAAATTTCATATATATTTAAACAAAATTTGAAAGTTCAGTAATGTCAATTACAAGAAGGCTGAAATAGTAATGTCGGTCAGTGATGACTCAAGAGTCAAGAATCCGATTTTGGCCAAATTTTCCCTCCCCGCCTGCTCCCCCGAAAAACAAAACAAAACGAAAACAGAAAAGCAATCATGTGGTATCACTATACTAGAATCATCATTTATTTGCACAAACACTGTGACGACGAGATTTAAGTTCATTGATCAAAGCAATAGCATCGGCGTTAGATGAGCCACCATGGTCTACAGCTTTCTTAGCCTTCTCGCTCACCTCTTTTGCTCGCCTTCACATGTCCTCCACTTCATCACCACCATTACCAGCCATCAACCACTCCACCGCTGCCTCCACTTTCTCCCTAGTCACCGTCACCTTGGGTTCCCAAATATACGACAACCATTCCTCATTCCCCACTCGAATCCCGGTCTTCAACACATCCACAACGATGCTTTCATTGAAGAATTGGTCTGCCACCAATGGCCATGTGATCATCGGAACGCCTGCTCCTATCCCCTCAATCGTCGAGTTCCATCCAATGTTGGCATGTTCTAAGATTAGCAACTGTGGTGCCCAACTCTTTACCATCAACCCTTGTCCGGACTTAAAGTCACCCTCTCTTCAAATCCCTCTGGAAGCTTTTTGCATCGATTTTCGCCTTCTTCCTTCTTTTCTTTCTCTTCTTGGCCGTACTCTGACATATCTCTGGCCACCCAAATGAATGGACAACCAGAAGTCTCGACCAGCCCATGAGCAACCTCGAGGAACTGTTCGGGAGCCATACTAGCCTGACTTCCGAAACTAACATAAAGCACTGACTTGGGTTGTTTGGAGTCGAGCCATTTCAAAATTGTATTTCCATCAATGGAGTTCTTTGCACCCCTCTCGGCCTTTTCTTCGAATGCTTTGTTGAAGAGACACACCGGTCCTATGAGACGTAACTTTCTGCCCATTTCATTCTTGAAATACTCAGCATAAGCTGGTTCCAACTCGTAAAAGCTGTTAACTATAACCCCATAGCTTTTTAGCTCAGACTTTAGAACCTCGTCGAGTAATTGTCCATAACCAGTTTCTTCCTCCTTAAACCAGTATGGGATTTTACTGTTGGTAAATATGATGTTATCATCGGGGAGACCAGGCAAAGCAAATATCTCTGCATCAGAATTTACCTTGTCATGTGGTGCATACCGTCGAATGCTCTCTTCACAACACAGAGAAAACAAACCTGCAACATGAATCAGAATTTTAATAATAGTTATAATATGTACACACAAAAATTCATAAAAAAATTGTATTCAGAATGATGTGATAGTTTAGGTTGTGTCAATTTAAATTTAAAATCAAAGAGAAAGAAAGGAACAAACCTGTAACATAGAATAAGAACCTGGAAATGCCGAGGCGAGCACCAAGGTCGGCAGTCCATGGATGGAACACGTCGCTGACGATGCAATCAGGGCGGCGTTCTCGGAGGAGTTGCTTCGATGGGTTCATGGAGCTTCTCGAAGGCCATGAAAAGTTTAGAGATAAAACCGGCAGAGGGAGCGAGGAGAGTCTCGCATCCATCGGGCAAGCCAAAGTCAGAGGTGGGTAATTTGAAGATGTGGAAGTTGATGTCATGGCCTAGTGACTGGTCTCTCTCTATGGTTTTCTGGAAGAGCTGGGCATATTGCCGGTGTTATTATTATGGCGACTTTCGCTTCTTTTGCTGCAAATAGCCTTGCTGTATCTATTGCTGGTAGAATGTGACCTCTCCCCATTACACTTGGTATGAAGAACATTTCTACTTTTGAATCCATTGTGAGAGAGAGAGAGAGGAGTTAAAGATTGAGGCTGAAACTTGATTGCTCTGCTCTGACGTGGTTTGTGTCATGGGATTTATAAGTGGTGCATGATGAGAGAGAGTAGCTCATATTAAAAACTTTTCATAAAGTAGCTCATATTAAAAACTTTTCATAAAAATAATCAGGAAGTTTTGTGATTATTGAATTATAATTAGAATAAATCACTGTACACTAATTAAGATAATTTAAGAATCATAAATCTTTCATAATTATTTTTATAAAAAAAATTTCATGATTCCTAACTTTTCGCTAAATAATAATGTAAAAATGAACATAATTAAAAGTAAAATGTTGTAATTAAGGGGTCTTTTTTCTCTTGTTTGAAACTTAATGTTGAAATATTGGTTTAGTGGATGCACAAGGACCGCGTGGTGATTATGTTAAATAATTTTTCACTTTTCAATTAATATTTAAGGTTTGTTTAGGTATGAAAAATGATACAGACCACTAATTAGTGGTTGTTCTAATACATGTATTTTGTGTCTTAGTTTTAGTTTTTTTTTTTTTTTTGCTTTCCACATCATTAATTATGGTGTTAGTGGTAGGAATTTAGTGGTCTATAACATTGTTGGTTTAGGTATATTGGCTTAGTGGATCACAGGACCGCGTGGTGATTATGTTAAATAATTTTTGAGTTTTTAGTGTATATTTAAGGTTTGTTTAGATATTGATTAATTTAGTGAATTTATGAAAATAAATATATATAAAGTAGAGAGAATGATGCGACAATTTATGGCAATTTTTGAACCTTTTAATTAAAATTACTACTGACAAATAATGCCTTAATCATTTTTTAAGTAAAATATTTTTGAGTTTTTGTATTATAAGTATTTAATAAATCCTAAATCCTAAATCCTAAAAAAGAAAAAAGAAAGAAAGAATTGAAACTGAAAACTCAACTATTTTATGAAAAATGCTAAGTATCACACTTGTTAATTTAGTAAAAAATTATTTATTTGTTTTTTGTTTTTTTTTTTTCATGTGCCTTAGGGTGACTATATATTAGGAATTTGTATCACATATCATTAATTATCTTAAAAATTATTTTCAAAGAAAAGATTAAAATTGTGGAGGGATAAGATATTAGCCCAAGTCTAAAGAAATTAAACATTGGTCCAGAAGGATTGAAAAGCCCAAATAAGTTTTTAAGAAGCGCATTGGGAATAACTAGTAGCAAGCTCGCGCGTGCCTATGAATGTGAAGGGCAATCAAGTATAGAGATACCTTTCTAAAAGAAAGATCTGTAGAACGAAAGAGGAACGTTGAATTAAGTTTCATTTAACAATAGAAACATCAGATAGCAAATGCAGAAGCATATGTCAAGCCTACTAGATGGTAAGGCCATTCGATCAATTTGATCCGACGAATACAGAGTTGACCAAGTTGACCACTAGCATCTGACATAATCTGTAACATGATGATCCAACGATCAATGGTAAAAGGAACTTGGCAACTTGACCAACCGGAGCCAGATAAAGGCAGAACCCACAGATTGAATATTGATCCAATAGATGAGATTTAAGTCAGGAAACTATAAAAACAATACAGGTAAAACACGGAGGACAAACGAGAGGTGATCAAAAAACTCTCTTTTAAATATAAATTATATTCTTATAGCCAAACAGTATATTGACTTAATAGTTGGAGGGTCCTCTCGACCTATCCAAGTTGAGGGTGATCATTGACATTTTGATTTCTCTTGGCAGAGCAAAGGAATAGACACGTCATCTCGTATAGTGATCCCGGTTGTCCCTTTACTGTTCTGTTGTATTCCGGACTCGGTTCCGTGATGTTGATGGTGGTATACCTTTGTAATAACCCTCATGCTATCCTAACCATACTCATATGCATTCATGTGATTCCGTCTTGTAAACTTGCGTTTCAAGTCTTGTCCCTGTTCGTTTAAATGTTACAACATGTTTTGTATCTTGCTTAGTGTGAGTTTAGCCGAGGTCATTTTCAGTTATCTTGGAACCACTTTGTTTGACCTCCACCCTCGCCCTGACATATTGGCCGAGATGTCAGTATCTAGGCCGAGATGTGTACCTTTGCACCCAAGTAATCTTGTCCCGGAGTGGTATGACCTAGACCGAGATGTGGCACATCTAGGCCAAGGTGTGGCACAGCTTAGTCAATTGTTGTCCTTCCTGGCCGAGGTCATTGTTCCCTGCTTGCCGATGTCTTTCTATTAGCCGAGATCATTACTCGCCAGAGTGCCCATACCGTCTTGCTTGTCGAACACACTATGTCATGGTTTTGTCTTGTCACTCAGCCACCTTTCTGTGTAGCGCCAACCAGCCACTGCCACGTGCCTCCGTAGAGGGTTAAGTCAGCCAGCAGACTTAGAAATGTATCATTTGCTATATGTTTTTGTTTGTGAAGAGAGAGAAGCTCTAGAAGAAGAAGAAGAAGTTTAGAGTGAGAGAGTGAGTTTCGAGCTTGATTCCTAGAAATCAAACCATTAGATTCGCATATTAAGGTTCGATTCTTGATCTACTCTTGTCATTCTTATTGATTATCTAGCTGCATTGCATGATCGAACCCGTTTTGCATGTCATGCATCGATTTAAAGTTGGTTTTAGAATGAGAAAACGGTTTTCATGTGTTTTTGAAGAAAAGCCTCGTTTGATCCGAAAGTTTGCGTTAAGGCTCATGCTTTTGTGTTTGTTTTGATGAGATCCTTGAGTGTGGGTACCCAGGTCCATGTTTTTGAAATTATAGCATGAAATCTCAGCTTTTGTAATAGCAAGTTTTGATCTTTGCGTTCATTTTCTTCATACTCATGGTTCTTCATGTTTATCAAGAGGGAAACCCAGATTTTCCCGACTTCGTTTTTGAATGTGGCCATCGAGGCTACACCTCGGCAATGAGGTGTGGGACCTCAGCCTAGACCTGGTAGTTGCCCAGCGTGTTTTTTCCAAAGATAAGAAACTGTGTTTCGATTTGATTGACTTAGTTTTTGAAGAATGCCCGAGGTCGTTTGCATGTAAGCTAGACTTGTTTTGAGTAGTGCATTCAATAGACTTTGACATGTGTTGTAGGACTTGGACTTACCTTGACCCCGACGTTTGAAGAACTAGGTGAGTGGTATTTTTAGTAAAGCTATGTTATAATGTTTTGATAAAGTCTCGTTTTGCTCCGTTTTGAGAAAAGTATTTGTAAGCATGAATGGTTATTCCTAATTTGGAAAATATATGTATATATTCTTGTTTTGATGACATTCTTGGAAGTCCGTATGTGCTAAGGGACTATAAGCACTTGTAGCACAAAGTTTGGAAGTCCGTACGTGCTAAGGGACTATAAGCACTTGCAGCACAAAGTTTGGAAGTCCGTACGTGCTAAGGGACTATAAGCACTTGTAGCACAAAATTGGGAAGTCCGTACGTGCTAAGGGACTATAAGCACTTGTAGCACAAAGTTTGGAAGTCCGTACGTGCTAAGGGACTATAAGCACTTGTAGCACAAAGTTTGGGAGTCCGTACGTGCTAAGGGACTATAAGCATTTGTAGCACAAAGTTTGGAAGTCCGTACGTGCTAGGGGACTCTAAGCATTAGTAGCACCAGTCCTTAGTGTCCGGGGACTATAATGCAACGACACCATTGAATCGAGATATCTCCCTTGCCTTGCCTTGTCTTGTCTTGTTTGCCACTGACGGTTTACCGCGTGGGTCTTGTTGCCGAGATGTCATCACTTGCATTATAATGATGTTAGTAAGCATCCTTTGAAACCTGACAGATTTGCTAGATGGGCTTGATCCATCCTTTGACTCGTACTAGTTATGTTTTGTATTGTTTAACAAAGATCTTGAATACCAGTCATGCAAACCCCTTTATTTCTTATACCATTCACTGAGTATCCAAGCTCACCCTCTCTATATATATGTAGGTGATGAGTAGGAAGGCGGTCACGCCTAGGTGCGGCTCGCAAGCTCGTTTTGGGTTTTTGTTTACGTCGACTTAACTTGTTTACATGTTGGCAGTCTTGAAAATTATGCTTCTCGGCTTATAATGCCTGTAATTTACACATGTCGGCTGAAGAAGCCTTTTGATCAAGATGTAAAATGTATTTTGTACTTTATTGTATTTGAATCTAAGTTGTAATATTATGTAGAGTTGTATGCCATTCCACGTAACTTACGCACTGCTCTTATGGATCACTTGTCTTTTTTTTAAATTATTGCTTCCGCACTTGTGAGCCCTATATATAATTATACTCTGATTGTGTGTGGATTTTGAAGATTGGCCTTTGGTAATCCCAGATTACTGGCCATCACGGCACCAAACTACTAGGGGCGGTTTGGGGTCGTGACAACTTTGTTGTCATCCTTTAATTCCGCTTGATTGAGTTTTAGGATGTATTGGGCAGAGTTGTTACAGGTTGGTTGGGCTTTGGTTTCAATTCTTTGTTGCCCAGTTTTTAGGAGGTCCGCTCGAGCGGGTCTTCTTGCGCTTGAGCGGAGATTGCACGCACCCAGTATTTTGGTGCTCTGCAGAACTTCTGCAGGCATGTTTTTCACGCTCGAGCGGATTTCTTTGCGCTCGAGCAGTGGCGCTCGAGCGGATATTCTGGCACTCGAGCGGGTAGTACTTTTTGGTGTAAGTTCTGGGAGGGGAAAATCTACGCTCGAGCGGACTGGTTTTCGCGCTCGAGCGGATGTGCTTTATTCTTGTGTCTTGGCGTTCGAGCGGGTCTTCTTGCGCTCGAGCGTACCTAGTTTTTTGTTCTTGACGCTCGAGCGTTGTGTTCTCCGTTCGAGCGAGAATGTCGTATATCAGTTGGCAGCTGGGCAT